GTTGTAATTTTTACAGGGGGAGTAAAAGTTTCTTCTGTGGGGCTGCTGGATGGGATCTTTCCCTTAATAAGTTAGAACTTAATCTTTGTACTACTATGGGCCCTTGTCAGCTACTATATATCTAATGGCCCATGGCTCTATTTGTATAGTTAGCACAGATTTTCCCCCCAGTTACACACAGATGACTACCGAAAGAGTTTTATAATAATACCAAATTCTTTTTTGTTTTGTTTTATTACCATCATTCTCTGGCATTTCAGCAGAACATGGAAATGAGGCAGAAAAGCTGAAGTTCCTGTAATTCTTGCAATCACTGTGTACTGATTAATTATAGTACTTGACACGGGCTGACCTGTTATAAGGCAAATTGTCTGATTGCAAGCCCCGGCAGAGGAATAACCCCAGACATGCATGTTCTGTGCTATCTGAACCCAGTATCCTGGCCAAGAGTAGCCAACCCATAAGTGAACAACAGCCTCTGCAGCAGCCTAGTCTGAAAAGCACTTCTCAAACTGGACCAATCACATACTCTCCTGGGAGCTGAACCGGAATCCTGAGGAGGTTCAATCAGTGGATACTGGAGCACAGTTAAAAGCAGACACAGAACGGCACCAGAAGGCACTGGAGGCAGCGAGTACGATGCGCTGGGAAACAAAGTCCGACGAAGAAAGCGACAGAGAGAGGGTTAAAGAAGGCACTCAATCATGAAGAGGAAGAAAAGATAAAGCAGCCAAGAACAGAGCTGAGAACCGTCATCTATCAGAGTAAAGAATTAAAGGATTAAAAGAAAGCTCATCCAACTCTCTAAAGTTGTTTCATATCCCGAACAACTGCAAGGTACATTTCCAGTCTTGAGAAAGCACAATTGGTTACAAACCCTGATTTTCCTCTGCGATTGCACCCTTTTTAATGAAAAGTGACTTTCTAACGAACCTAATGAATGCCCTTTACTCAAAGGAACTTAAGAAAACTCGCTGCCATTGAGTTGAAGAAACTTAAGGGAAATAGTATTTCTTGCAATGGAAAGAGGCTGACACCAGTATTAGCAGAACGAGAAGTGCATTACAAGAAGGATGAAACTAACTTAAAATAAGAATTCACCTAAAGAATTTTTAAAATAATAAAAAGTCTATTATAAACCACCAAATATTTGGTCTAAGCAGATATTTTGAAATTTTAAATAAAACTCCTTAAAAATGAAAAAATCTGAGAAACCCTATACCTATTCAAGACATTAAAGCCGTAGAAGTTTCCCACATGAAAAACACCAAGCTCAGATTCTTTTCCTACTGCACTTTTTCAAATATTTAAAAAAGAAAATGCACCAATCTTATAAAAACGTTTGTAATTCATAGACTAAGAGGAAACTCTTAATATCAGGAACAATAACAGGACCTTGATTCCTAAACCTGACAAGAACACTGTAAGAAGTAGAAATTACAGACTAATCACACCCGCAGTATACATGCAAAACCCCTAATAAATGTTGACAAACCAAAACAAGGAGCTATAAAGCCATTTATGACCTTTAGGGAATACAAGGCGGTTTACTATTTAAAAGCCAAATAATGTAATTTATAGAATAAAAATGTAAAATTTTAAAGTGACTCCAAATAACTAACAGAAAATATTTGATAAAATCTAATATCATTCCATGGAGCAGTGGCTGGAGGTGGTAAATGGGGAAAGGAAGTAACAGGTATACTGTCTGACAAGAACAGGAAAATGTCATTCTTTGTTCATACACGCCATGAGCCGATCAGTAGAAGACTGGCTAAAGAGACTCTGGAACACACATACACTGGAATACGGTTGATGTTGTCGTCAGGTGCCATCAAGTCGCTTAGGGACCCTATGACCAACAATGAAACACTACCCAGTCCTAGCCCATCTTCATAATTGTCCCCAAAGTGGGCTTGAGCCCACTTGCAGTCTCTGTGTCAATCTGTCTCAGTGAGGGCCTTCCTCGTGTTTGCTGCTCATCTACTTTACCAAGCATCCATTCCTCTACTTAGCCGAGCCAATCCACAGTTTGTCATGATCCACACACCTTGGCAGAGTCAATGAAACACAAGTCAACATCTTTTCTGGCATTCTCTGCTTTGAGTCCAGATCCATCTCACATCAGCAGTGATATCCGGTGTTCCATGTCTTTTGCCTGAATCTGGTAGCTTCCTGTCAATACACTACTGCAGCCATTGTTGGACGATCGTCATATCAATAATACTGTTCAGGAACTTTCACACCCTGTTGGGTCACCTTTCTCTGGAATGAGCACAAACGTGGGACCTCTTCTAGGCAGTTAGTCAAGTAGTCATCTTCAGATTTTCCAGCACAGACCAGTGATTGCTTCCAGTGCTCCCTCTGCTTGTTGAAACACTTCGGTTGGTACTCCATCCATCCCTGGAGCTTCCTTTTCACCAGTGCCTTCAGGGCAGCTTGGATTTTTCCCTCTGGTACTATCAGTTCATGGCAATATGCT